TCAGTCGATTGTTCCCAGCCAGACAGGAAGACGAGCGCCAGCTGGATGGGGGTACAGGCCCAGGCGACACTCAATTCCGTCAACAGAAAAGTTCAATCAGAAATTAAGAAAACAGCCGCCGCGCAAAAATTGTCGCTGGGAAAAGGCGCGAAAAACTTTGCACCCCGCGAGGCCAATGGTAAATGAAAAGAAAGTGGCATTAGACAATGAAAGAACTCTAGGAAAAACTGAGCTTGGGTCGGTAGCCCCGGAACATTTCATCGCGTGTCGAAGACGCATTTGAAGGCTCGACGACACTTCAGACACTTCCGCACAGCCACAGGGAATCGAATATTGGGAGTTGGTGGAGTTTTCATTGGGTATACCCAAATGCAGATTAATATCTTTAATGGGGAAGATTTTCTTCTAGTTCGATTGAAGAAAAATTAAAATTGGCCCATCTGGCAATTTGTTTCGATCTGAGTATTTCTGGCCGGGAAGTTAAGAGCAATTGGTTAAGAGAAGGAAGCATGTATAGGATGATCTATTTAGAGCCTTTTTAAAAGTGTTCCGCCTGTTTTTCAATTGTTCGCTTCGGATTGTAGTAAGCTCCACTGCAGTACCCGGTGTCCAGGCCCGCTTTTATCAATATGTAAGAATTTTCCATTATTCTTTTTTCCTTTGAATAGTCCGGTACTTGAAGAAAGCATTTGTTTGTTTTCACTTTTACAACACTTGGCCGTCTAAAGTCAGGCTCAAGGCTCCGTTTGCTTCTTCGGTTAGTGCCTGTGAAATATTTTGCAATCCATTTCTGTGTGTAGCCGAAGTGACTTTGCGTTGATTGAAAAAATAACCGAAGCGGGCATAAATTTTGCGACTGGCAAATGCCACAAATTCAATTTACGATGAACAATCAATTTTGTATCGAACGATCGCAGGTTGACTCTTGGCCCCCATTCGTTAGGGGCCCAGCCCCAGTGGGATCCCAACTAAACAGCACACAACACCCGCCACACACACTTCCATAAGAACAACAACAACAACAACATTCACTTACATATTTCATTTTGTTTATTTGCATTCCGCCGCACGCCGCCGCATGGCGTTGCCGGACTTTCAAGTTCTTGACGTTACGGCTGAGTTTTGATTCCCAGAGGTAGAAAAACTTGCTGCGGAAATTGAAATTTAGCTGGGCAAAGTGAAGGCGGATCGATTGCAGGCACTGATCAAAGTCTTAACGGCTCACAAAAAACTTACTCGCCTGCAGATACAAAGATACTTTGCTTGTGGCTAGCTGCATATCTTTGGCTCTCTCTATCTCTCTGACAGCACTTGTTGTTGTTGTTGTTGCTGTTGTCGCCGTCACTTGGTCTGTGAGCCACATTGGGGCCTCAGTGCAATTTTTATTGTTGGCATTATTATCGTCACATGTCGCTCACTAATTGATTTTTCTTGTCGCCTGCCTCGTCGCTCGCACGTTCGTTCGCCTTTCGTTGGATATTTCGATCGACTCGGATCGTTGCTCGATCTGAATGATTGGCTATATTGCTGTTGTTGTTATTGATGTTGTTGCTGTTGTTAATTTGGTTGCTGTTGTCGCAGTTGCTTGCAAATTTTGTGCGCACATGACACTTGCCGGGACAGGCAACATCAGCGCTGCCAGTGCTGCCAAATGTGTCAAGTTGCGGTTACATTAATAAATTTTGCGTGCATCACACTCGCGCACCTCTTCCTCGGCCCGCTCCTCCTCTATCGATCTATCCCCCTGTCTGCCTTTCAAATAGGGGCCAACGGGGTGTCAACAGAGCTCCCACTTTCTTCTGCAGCTAGCTATATCTTTGCTCGATCTATAGATGTCTTGTCTTTTTGTTTTCTTGGTACGATCGTAATAATACATTAAATGTTTCAAAAATTTGTTACAAAATATCAGAAGAATACGAAGAGTATTTACCAAATAGGAAAAAGGTCTGCGATTGGGTTCTGCTTTTTGCCAATTGAACGAAAGAGAATCAATGATCCCAGCTGCGATTTGGACGCTGGGTTGTTTGTGGCTGTGTGTGTTGCTTGTTTGCATTGACATTTTGTCACTTAATTTGTTGTTGTCGGGCTGCTGCTGCAGGTTGGTTGCCTGCCTGCCTGCCTGCTTAGTTGGTTAGCCTGGACAGCCAACTGGTTTGGCTATGGCCCGGGCAGCTGGCGGCTGGCTGCTGCTGCTGGTCGGCAATTGCCTCAGCTGCATGGGGCAGCAATTTGTTGGCCGATCTCAGATAGGGCAATTTTAATTGGACTTAACGGAAACTAGCTAAGAAATGCATGCAAAGCATACAAATGAAAGGTGAAACCTGGCCGAAGCAGCAGAAGGGGAAAGCATGTCAAACTCTTGGCTAAGCGCTGGTAAATGTGCTGGCTCTGCGCTGTGAATTGAGCTATCTAAGAGTGATCATAGCAGCGGTGATCGCAGTTTGATTGCGGCAGCCGGAATCCTGAGACCGAATCAGTCTTTGACAGGAGCACACCACAGATCGTGAGAAATTCACATTTTGAATGCCAAACGCCAATTGATTTTCACAGCAAGTTAAAATTCCAAGAGTATCAGAGGTTTGTTTTGGTTAAACTGGGATTTTTTCATTGGACATTTTTCTCTAGACCTTTAACTTTTTTATCGACGGTCACGGCGTTTTTTAAATAAATATTTTTTAGTTCAAATAAGTTGCTTTAAGTATTCGAAATATAAAGTCTATAGATTAACTAGAAATATCCGAAAGTTTGTTGAACAATTTACAATTTCTGAAAAGTTTTTAAGTGTTAAATTTAGGAACACGTTTTGCTATCATTAAAAAAAAACTCTTAAATTATTAATTAAGTCTTGCTCTTCTTGAATGACACTTTGAGAAAATTGAAGGGAAATTTTTTCGCTATTCTCTTCGCCGTACACAGCCCTTATCAAATTGGGCGAGCTTGAATTTATCTTTATAAAACTCAACTATCTAAAACAATTTCTTTCGACTATCGACAAATGGGAATGCATTCACCACGTGGCGACCAGTTGGTTAGAACTGGGAAAGCAACCTGTTTCGAAGCTAGCTCCAGTTATGATTGATTTGACTGAAGAACGTAATCTAAACTCTTTCGTCATCAGCTCCATTGGAGGCGGCGACGACGGCACTGGCTGAGTACGTCGCCTTGTGAAACACCTGCGCCATTATTTTACGTTATTGTCGCACACAGCGGCGCCAATATATCATTGATAGCCGATGACGACGATGCTGCTGCTGCTGACGCCAACGACTCATATGCCCCTACAAGCATGTGTGTGTGTGAGTGTGTGCCACGTCGTGGATGTTGCACATTTCTCAGACGTCACAAAGACGACTCCTTGCCCTGCGACGGCCAGCCTGACCGTAGTGGAAATTGGGGCTGGGCTGGGGCTGGGTCGTCGCCCGGTTGGGTCTTGGTCTTGGTCGGGCTGGGCTGGGTGACTTATGTTAGCTGCCGCTGCAGCCGGCACATCCATCATCTATCAAAGATGAATTCATCTCCGTCAAATCGCTGGGCTTGCGCTTTGAATGTGGGCTACAACATTTATGAATAAATTGCACGTACGACGACACCTCATGGCTGCTGCACTCACTCGTCGCGGAGTGGAGTGCAGCAGCGGCCACGTCGTCGTCGTCGTCAGCATGTCAACCCACTTGGCCGGCCTAGCCGCGCATTGCCAAATGAGCGCTGCTGTCGCTGCCATTGGACCAGGACAGGACCGGGACTAACTGCGGAGGGTTAGGGGATAGGGGGGCGGCTGTCGTGGCCACACGGAGACGAAGACGATCATTTGCTGCCGCCAGGAAATTTCAAATTTATTATCGCATTTGCCATTATTTATGATTTGTGCAAAATCTTGTCGTATATCAAAGTCAATGGTGTGACATAAACTATCGATGGCTATCGATAATTTACGTCAACTCTTTCAAACTAATAACAACAAATACAACAAATACAACAACAGCTAGAAAAACAACTAAAATAATGATGATGCTGCAAATGACGCCGTTGACAGTGTGCTGCATGGCATTCAGTTCCAGGAAATACATTTCGCGAATTGCATCCGGTTCAGCAGACGGCATCTCCAACACGGAGCTCATTTTGGGAATAGTAGCTAAATCAATTGAAGTGATTTATCATTAATCTCTGGCTAGGTTTCGGTTAATCATGCTCCCACGCTCAACAAATATTTGTGTCGCATATTAACAGAGATTGATGTCAAATTAGGAAAGTGTTAAAGGTATCCAACAAATATTTTCTCAAATTTAGATAATTATTTCAAGTATCTTTCTCTAAGTTTTTTAAATATCAATTACCGAATATTGCTTATCTTCTAAAGTAGACTTTGCAACTAATGTCAAATCGAATTTCATTACGCCTCATTTAAACCTTCCAAATTAAATCACTTGAATTCAGACCGGCAACGGTAGCAGATGTCTGCTACAATAACAAAATTACTATTTTAAAAACCTGCCTTTTTATTAAATAATTTAATTAAAAATTAAGTGATGTGACAAATAAATAAATTGATCAGATAAAAGCATTCGAGATCAATGTTGAAAAATACCACAAAATTAATAATTAATATACTTTAAATAATATAATAGATATAATAATAATAGAAAATAATCAATATATATTTCAGTTTCCCAATGGCAAAAAAATAATTAAATATTACTTACCTTTTTTTTAATTCGTCGACCTCCAAAATTAAAGTTCATTTAAAAGATGGCAATTTTCTATAAACAAAATTAAAATTAAAATAATAAATATTTGTTATTTATAAAAATAGTTAAGAATTTAGATAAAAGTTAAAATATTGTGAATAAGAATATTCCAAGGTTTAGATTTAGCTTCCAATGAAATGCATCGCGATCAAAATTTCTGATACTTATAAAAGCTTTATTTATTTTTCATGTGCATTAGTAGAAATATTTTAGACCTAAATGCTGAGTAAAATTCAATTCATTATTTTTTCGTAGGGCCGGCAAAAATCCTCTAACTGAACCCTCCACGAGGGTGCCGGCCGGGCAATGGGCACTGCCTAATTTGGATGAAACCGGCGATACACACTTTTCATCCAGGCAATGCAGTGTCTAGCTAAGGTTCCGCAAAAAATCCGGAGCCATGGTTCAGAGGTGTTGATGCCTGGCGGTAGGCATAAAACGCTAGGGGTGATTTCCTGAATTAATAAATCGAAATGGAGGTGAATATAGAAACAACTCGGGCTGGGATATCAGTCCAAACGTCGGTGGAAGAAGTGACCGCTACCACCGGCGGGCACGGGGAGGTGATGTCCCCTCAACGTGTCGCCAGTGGTCACACCTCGTCTTTGGTGGAAGCAGGCCAAGGTCGTTGCACAGCGACTGCCATCAATCTAAGCGTGCCGCAAGCGAACCTCGTTCAGCCAATAAAAAATGAAGCAGAGTGCGAATCGTGTGGCAATGCCATAGGTACCATAGTAATTCCAGTTCAGCCTGCCGCCCCCAAGGTAGAGATCAACAATGCCCATAGCCAATGCAACGTATCATTAAATCAGTTCTCGTCCACAGGCCGCTAACGAGTTCTCGCTCCAAAGCGAAAGTCAAGCCGTTGCGTGTGCGGAGGCAACGGGTATTTCAATTTCTCCCATACCCCAAGTCAAAGTCGAACCAGTGACACCCAAGGGCAAGCAATTTGCAGCCAAGCCCGAAGTGCAGGCCAGTGACAAAAAGAAGGATAAATTCGATGTACCAGGAGCCACTAAGCTAAGGGATGGCAAATATTCGGTTGAGGAGTCGTCAGCCTACAAAAGACCGCGCTCCTCCAAGACTGAAGCGCCTGCGTCAAAGCGGCCCTGCAACCAAAATAAAACAGCCGATAGGATTGAGAATGAGGCCAGAAAGGATGATGATTTGATTGTGGCGCTCATTGATAAAAGCAATTTCTCCGGTAAGATTTCACCAAGCCAGTGGCAGTTGGTCGAGACCAAGCTGGTGGATGCCCTGCTCCAAAGCATGGCCAAGCCCGACAGTATACCCGCCCGCTTTGATGATGCCGGTTGGCAAACTGGAGTCAAGCTTATCGGTTGCGGAGATGACCACGCCATGAAATGGCTCTCCACGACAGTGGCGGCCATGGATGCCCCATGGCCAGACGCCAAGCTCGAGGTTGTCAATAAAAAATGGATTCCGCCGCTTCTCAAAGCGAAGCTGACACTCCCGCGGGTCATGCCGAGGGAGCAGGCTATGGATCTATTGAAATGGCAAAATCCGGATATACCTACCGCTGACTGGCAAGTGGTTACTGTCAAGCCCGACAGCAAGGGCCAAAAGATGGTACTGAAGATCACCAAGGAGTCCAATGAGCTGCTTTTAGCTAGACATGGAAAGATGGCCTGGGGCATGAGCACCGTGCGGGTTCACGTTAAAAAACGCCACAGAGAAAAGAACGCTGCTGCTGCTGCTGTTGCTGAAGTGAAGCTGGAGTCGGCTCCGAAAACTGCTCAAGGACAGGGAGCTGGAAATACGGCCGTTATAGAAAATCCGAAAAACAAGCTCGTGGAGGATCAAAATATGCCGGAGTTACCTGACAGCAGTGTAGCTGCCAGTACAATAGTTCAACAAACGTAGCCAGTAGTTGTCGATGGGGGGTTTTTTTTTTTAAACGTGTTCTTTCACAGTCTCTTCCAACAGCCTTGGGTGGAACGCGAGTAAGTTAAGCTAAAAAAGGCTTTTTAATTTGTCGTGCATTCTATTCTTTTAAAATGTAATTACAGGGCGGAAAATCTTTTTAAGCAGACCTCGTCGGCTTACAGGCTGACCATATATCTCTTCCATCAAGCAAACGGAATACTTATATATTCTTTATTGTGTGCCTTAAAAGCAAACATCAAAGTACATACGCCCACTAGTTGGGAATTATAACAGTTCTTTCTCAGACATTTAAGACTATTATATTTATTAATAAATAAGAACTTTTTTATGTTATCTATTCCAATACTAGTTGTGAATTTTAGACATCGTTGAAAATCTATAATAAATATTATATAATTCAAAGTAATTTTTAGTTTTTTAAAAGCACAATTTTGTGTGCCCCCTGCTTCATTTTAATTCAGATGATTTTTCGTGAAGAAACTTATCCAGGAACTGATTCCATTAGGGCCTAAACTTTGGTATATAATTTCATTCAAATCGCCAATTATTGGGACATCGAAGTCGGAACAAACATCAAAGTGGCTTCAATTGCGATGCTGAAACGACTTGAGCGAAAAGAATTTACAGTTGCATTATACACACTCAGGCACACACGCACACACACACACACACACACACCCGTTCAGATGGCTTGCAAGTTGTGCCGGAAAAATCTTTCACATAATCATAAAATGACTTGGAAAAAGGAAATTCTAGCGACAGATTTATGCACTCGAGAAAGCTTTTGCGCCGTTGCATTCAACTGCTCTCTGAGAGCTGGCTGCTCCATGGAAGCGAATCCTGCCCAGGGACAGGCACTGGGCACTTGGTGCAACAGCAGCAACAGCAGCCATTTCTCCGCTGAAATGTGATGGCGGCGCAATCGCTTGGATTTAGTTGCAATTATTTTTAATGTTGTTTACTTACACTTCAATTGATGATGCCAATAACTGTTTCAAAACTTTTTCCTCAAATCGATATACGTATATATACTTTTTTTGCAGTCTTTGTAAATGTGCAAAATATCGTACATGTTGTGCAGCAGGGGCGGGGATCATACTTAATGGGCTCACCATAGAACTGGGGATTGCAAAGAATATATTTGGTATTCAAAGCAGCTGCGGTTGCATAACTCTAATCCACACAGAGCTATCTATAAGAAGTCGATGCAAGAGTGTTGAATATATAACAATAGATTATCTGGCTGGAATTCCTAGAATTTATCCAGACTACACAACATATTTGTGAGACTGTTAAAAACAAAAGAATTGTGTACATTGTTTTTAGCTTTAGCTAAATGTTTGTTGGAATGGGTAATGCGAGTGATATGGGGAAAGTCTTCATAAATAATCCCATGAAATTACCACACGCACCAAACATTTGAGAGTTTTCTCTGCTTTCATACCTATTCTGGGCATTGGCAATTACCATTTCAAGCAAAACGAGGACGAGGACAAGGACAAGGACATCAAGTCGATCTAGGAAAACTAATCAAACGCCGCTGCCCAAAAACAGATGAGTCCATGGCGCGAGTGCAGGCGGTGGCACGTGGTCCGCTCGGAGTATGAAACATTCATTTGACGCATGCGACATGACGACACAACAGAGGAACTGCCGAGACGTAGTCGGAGCTGGATAGCAGGCTGGAAGTGATGCGCGAATTTGATATTGTATATGGCTGTGCGTGACGTTGCATCACGGATGAAATGGATGGAAATCGTGATGGAAGCGCGTCGAGCATAACAAAAGCTGCCATCTGAGCAGCACCAACTGACGCCCGATGTGCTGCATCGGCATCAGCCCCAGCATCGCCATCGGCAACGGCATCAGCATCAGCATCACATCGCATCAATGTAAGTGGTGCCAAGAAGCAGCGCCAGGCAGCGGGAACTTTAGCTCTGGCAGCATTTGGAAGCGCCATTCACACGTACCGCTCATACATATCACAGACACAGGACTAAAATTTAACCTTGCTCAGGGTACGAAGGACGCGTTGGGGTAAACAAGGCGTTTAGGGACACACTCGTATTAGGCTAACAACCGTTTCAGACGCAACAACACGCAGTCCGTATTGTCAGCCATGTTGAAGAACTGAATGAAAATCAGGAGCATATCAACTAAGGCAAGATATGTTTCGCAAATAACTCAAATACATTTTAAGAAATTCCAAACCCATCTCGTCAACAGAGAAAACTCGTCATAAGTTGAATCGGCAGAGTTTCAGTTTGGGCTGCAAGCAATTTATAGATATTAAAGTACATATTTTTGAGCATATGTATAATAAACAAAAATATATACTACATACAATCACTTTGAAAATTATAAATTAAATAACTATAATATGGAAACTAGTCAATTCCTACAAATTAAAAAATGCATCTGTACTCCTTCGTAGATAAATATAACAGTTGATTGTGATTAATAACATAACTAGAAGTTTGGTTTAAGTTTCCCAAGTTTAATAATAGACTAATATTTTTAGCAGTTATTCAAAAAACTGCCAAAAATTAATGTTATTGCACATTTTGCACTGTTCACATCCCATTCCGCTAAGAAACCACTGCACTGTGGCGAACCTAAACCAAAATTATGCTACTACATTGCATCCCCAGGCTTCCGAAGGGCATCCCAAAAAAGAGAGAGAGCGAGTGAAAGGGAGGCTATGTGTTTTGTTGCATAGTTGCCGTCGCATCGGTCGCATCACATCCCACAAACATAAACAAGGCAAAGTTATGGACGCAGCTTATGTCCTGCCAAGCTGCTCCACATCTCAGCCAGAGTCGCAGCGAGACAAACTTTCGTGCAATTCGGAAATGATTTGTGCAGTTCGTGCTGGCTGCCTGGCATGGAGCGACTGGCAGGACTGCTGATAAACGTTGTCCTGGCACTCGTGCTTCGCCGTGCTTGTTTCGCACCTGTCCGTGCCAAGGCCCAGGCGAACGCAGTGGCGGCGGCGGTGGGGCAATCATCCGGCCAAGCCATAAATAGAAAGCGAGTCAAGAGACCCTGCGGCATCATTGCCAATGGAAAATATGGCAACGCGTTGTCGGTAATTTGCGCAAATTATGTGCCGCCGCCGCCGCCACCGCTGACGACGCCAACGCAACCGATGCTGCCAGAGTTGCCGTTCGGTCCAATCTTTGGAATGTGTGCACGTGCTAATGGCCGCTGGAGTCAACGAAAATCGCCAACATCAGAGCCCAGCCAGCCACCCCCTGCACAGCCCAAAAATGCCAACTCCTCCAACTGAAATCTCGGCCTGCCAGTTGGGAGGCGGCCTGCGAACCATTAGCATTGGCCTGGAATTTACGCTCTTCACACGTGCCCGACGCCACTGGATATTGACACGATTCCGTCATCATCAACTGGCAGCTGGGAGCGTCGGGTCGATGGGTTAGCTTTTTATCAGCTTATTTGCCAAATGTTGTGCCGAAAATCAAATTGTAATTTACCAAAATAGTCTGCTAAGCCCCTACAGCGCTGCTGTGCATGGTTTAGGTCTACGAATATGGTTTACAAAGAGGTTTGATTAACATACGTACACAACTGTACTACCACTATACAGTTGATAACTCGATGCAAACAAAAAAATTATTCTCTATAGAAAATAAAATACTATAAAAACAACGTTCAATAAATTATATTGGATCGAGAAGCATTGTTAATATTTATGATTTTTTGTTAGAAATGAAATTTTAAAAACGAAAAAATATTTATTACTTTTCGATAAATATGTATAAATCATCTCCAGTGTTGTATAACAAAATCAACAACCTGATTCTACTCATCCACCTGTCATCCACCCGATATCCCATAGATATCCCATTTTAATGCTTATACAATAAATATCCGATTCAGCGCTGTTCAAATAATTCGCTTATTAACCCGTGGTCCGCGAGGGACCCAACCAACGAAACATCATCTAAGCTAGTTATAATAATGTAATATATATATTATTCTAAATCCAATAAAGTAAAAGTTTAGAAGAAAAATTCGTAAAAAAATAAATTTAATTACTGGCTGGTTAAAACCAATCAATAATTAGTGCATTATGTTGTCCTGTCTTGTCCTTTCATTCAAAACTGTTTTCGTACAAACAAATATATTTTAATAAGTTTAACTCTAAAACCAGGTAGTCTAGAAGTCGACAACCCTACAAGGGGTTAAGCTAGGCAAACATCTAAATCAACTCCGTCCGAAGAAGTGCCAGCTAGTTGGCTTCTGTCTGGAGGGTGGAAGTGGGGGGTAGGGTTAAGGTTTATGGTCGCATGCGGTGCTATTTATGACACGTTTCCGTCAAAATATTCGCGATTTGCGAGCGACGCCGTTGAAATGCAAAAACTCGGCTCGCACCGAAGGCAACATTGGCTCTCTGAAGTGCAATCACTTGTGAAAATCAACTCACACACACCCGCACACGTACAGAGAGTGACAGAGCTAGACAATTGTGTCGGTTGCACCCTGGACCCAAAAGGACTTAAACTGCCTGCGATTGTTCCTTGTGGCAAAGCCGCGAGTCGTATGTCGAGTACTTGAAACTTCAAAGGAAATGCCTATCGCTGTCAAGGACATAAATTGCGCTGACAGGGTAAAAATTTAATGCCACAGTTGTTGTTGCTGCTGTGCATTTCAACGTTGCCCCCGCACCCCCTCCATTCCCTGGCCAACAAAACCTGGAAGAGCTGCAGCCCGTTCCGATGCGACGCTGTAATGTATGCAGCAAAATATTTTTTAGCAATTGCATAAGGCAAGGGACATCAATAAAATAAATAACAATAATTCTGCAAAATGCCCATAAATCCAAGGGGCGACGTCATAACTTTCGTTTTTATGACTCCCCAACTAGACAGACTGACGCGGCCTGAACTGTGACAACGGAGAAGGTGGCGGAAGGGGGGATTGGGTTGGTTCCACCTGCGTGGCAGCCGAGCCGAACGGAACCGGGCCGTGGGCCACGTCAGTCAGCAATAAATAAATGCAAGCTGGCAGTCAGTTGGTCGTCACACAGAACACACACAGGACAGGACAGGGCGAGGGGTCACTGAAAATTGCAGCTGAAATTATTGCATTTAAACAGGACATTATAACACACACTCAAGCACACACTCGCTAGACACGGGACATGGGGCAAAAATTGCAGCAGTTGCCTTTTTCCAATTGTTGTCCATGTGCTCTGTGTGGAGCTGTCCCTGTCATTGTTGCTGCGACTCATAAATTAAGTCCTCATAACGGCAAAGTTATTGAAGTAATAAAATTTTACACTGACATTTGACAATCGA